CAATATATTTATTTACTTTACTTAAATCTCGTTTTCTTTTGCTTTTGTCTCAGTCATTTTCTCATTTCATTTGCATCAGCAGTTTGTGCAATTTCTGGTTATTGTGAAAGATCTTGTTGAATGCATTTTATCAATCTACAGGTTATCATACATACATGATATACAATAAATGCCGTACATAAATTATTCGAGACTAGGCTTGCCAGATGTTTCCTGACTAGCTACTTACTTTAAAAAAAAAACATTCTTTAAACTTATCTTATGAAATTATGCAAAGGAGATTAGAAGCTATGTGGAACACCACCCATGAAAATAAATAAATAAATCTATAGCTATACACACTCAATTAGAGAAAAAAGAGAAAAAAATCGTCTAATAATTTTCTATATCTCAACATGTAGTTGGGCAAATGCATGGCATGCGAAGAAATGAGTATGATAATAATTCTAAATTGTGCCATAAAACCGTTGATCATTTAAGTTTCAGATTACAGAATGGCAAAGAAGAAAGAATTGCCGCTGATTCTATTTAATAAATTTTGAATGAAATTCAATTTTTTTGATTGAAATTTTTGCATATTTTTGTGGTTTGGCATTTTTTGGCGAATGGGTTTGGCTTTTTGGGGTCGATTGTAAGTGACGTCCGTCCATCAAACACCCTCCTGTATTATTCTATTAACCATTAGTATTCTGAAACAGTTTTTAAAGTCTAATCTTGCAATGAATTCTGAGACAGTGGTGTCCAACCTTTTTTGAGCTATTATGAAATTTTCTGAATTTTTTCACAAGTGTTCCGCGACACATGGGTTGGTCTTCACTGCCCTAAATAGATGACATCACTCCTGAATGCCCCCACATTTAGAAATCTCAAGTTTATCGCATTAAAAACACGGAATCTCGTTTAGATTCAACTTTGTGGCAGAAAATATTGATGAAATTTATCATTTTGCAGCTTCATAGCTCAGAATTCAAGCATATCTTACGATAATATCACAGAAAATGATATGACTGACTAGCTAATCCCGCGATCTAATCGTAATTAATGTACATAATATTAATTACTTTCTAATAAAATCCAAAATACATCACAAAAAATCATTTCCTTATTCTCATACACATAATATCTCCTTCTTTGTGAAAGTTAGGCACCGATTCCTGTAAAACAGAATGGAATTTGCCGGCTTCCAATTACTTTCACAATTACAGCGGGTACATAAAGAAGAAAAGGAAGGAAAAAAAAACATCGGCTCAATTACTCATAACATCGTGATCAAATTTTAATTAAATTAAATTTCACTTGAGGAGGTACAAAAGCATCAGACAGTGAGCTAATTAAATTGTTGATGAAAGAAAAGATCGATTAACAAATCAACGCACATCTGTCATACGAGCACTGTAAATCAATCAATTAAATCATTTTTTTTCGGTGCTGAATTATTTTTGGTAAGGAAGTAGGTTGAATGAACATTTTGACGTGATTACTAGGCTGCTGTTTGAGTTCTTGACAGGGTTTGTGAAAATTTTAAAACTGAAATAACGGTCATAAAAAGTTTTGAAAAATAACGGATTTGAAGAATTCAAATTTCATCGGGTTTTAATAGTTCAAACATAATTTGAATTTTATAGAGCCGTTAATTTTTTAAGAACAGTTTTTTAGATTACTAACCAGTATTACGGGTCCTACCTAAAGGTTGTAGTCACAAGCAGCACCAAATGCGCCAAAAACAATCAAATATCCAAACATCTTATCTATTTCAAATCAAAAGTCATCAACCAAAAACGTCATAAGTTGGAATTATAATATTAATCTCCAGCTAGACGCAATAGACAAGACAAATAAAATAAAAAACAACAATGTGGTAAATCAATTTCAAAAAATATTAAAGCCGCAAAATTAATTACATACGACATGCACAAAGTAAGATGAAAGCAACGTAAAAATTTCCTCTTTTGTAGTTCTTTCTTTCTCTATTCGGTCATAGATTAACTTTGTCATATTCATGCTGTATAATTCTGTTTGTTTATTTCTTTTGTAGTTTTTGCGGTTTTGTGGTGAGCTTGTATGATGCATATAAGTGAATTTTAAATAATTATTATGAAGTAATATAATTACTTATGATATGCTGAGAGAACTTGATATGCCTTGATATGGGTTTGTTGTTTGATGTTGGTATTGGGAGTAAATTTTATGGAAACTGACAAGATGAGTTGATGTGCATTAAGTCAGTGAAGTAAAATAAAACAAGAATTTTTATTTACGCTTATGTAATAAAATGAGTGAGTGCTGCATACTCTCTGTATTGAAGATTAAATCAATATATTGGTAGAAATGAGATTTTCTGAATCAAGCTTAAATTTGCTGAATTTTGCTGAACAAGCTGAATTCAACTGAATAAACTCAATTTCGCCGAACAAACTGATTTCAGGTGATTAAACTGTTCGTTTAATTATTCAGCTTAATTCATCCAAGCAAACTTTATCTTGCTTAACTGAATTGAACTGAATAATTCTAATTTTTGCTTAACAAGCTGTATTCAGCTGAACAAACTTGACCTTTTCAAAGAAGCTGAATTAAATGAATCTTACTTTACAAGCTGAATTCAGCTAGATAAACTGAATCTTGCTTAAAAAGTTGAGTAAAGTTGAATAAACGTAATCATGCTTAAGCAAACTGGACCTTGTCAAAGAAGCTGAATTAAATGAATCTTACTTTACAAGCTGAATTCAGCTGGATAAACTGAATCTTGCTTAAAAAGTTGAGTAAAGTTGAATAAACTTAATCATGCTTATCAAGCTGAATTCAGCTGAATTAAATAAATCTTGCTGAACAAGCTGAATTAAGCTGAATAAACTGATATTGCTAAACAAGCTGAATTAAATGAATCTTACTTAACAAGCTGAATTCAGCTGGATAAACTGAATCTTGCTTAAAAAGTTGAGTAAAGTTGAATAACCTTAATCATGCTTAAGCAAACTGCACCTTGTCAAAGAAGCTGAATTAAATGAATCTTACTTAACAAGCTTAATTCAGCTAGATAAACTGAATCTTGCTTAAAAAGTTGAGTAAAGTTGAATAAACTTAATCATGCTTAAGCAAACTGGACCTTGTCAAAGAAGCTGAATTAAATGAATCTTACTTTACAAGCTGAATTCAGCTGGATAAACTGAATCTTGCTTAAAAAGTTGAGTAAAGTTGAATAAACTTAATCATGCTTAAGCAAACTGGACCTTGTCAAAGAAGCTGAATTAAATGAATCTTACTTTACAAGCTGAATTCAGCTGGATAAACTGAATCTTGCTTAAAAAGTTGAGTAAAGTTGAATAAACTTAATCATGCTTAAGCAAACTAGACCTTGTCAAAGAAGCTGAATTAAATGAATCTTACTTTACAAGCTGAATTCAGCTGGATAAACTGAATCTTGCTTAAAAAGTTGAGTAAAGTTGAATAAACTTAATCATGCTTAAGCAAACTAGACCTTGTCAAAGAAGCTGAATTAAATGAATCTTACTTTACAAGCTGAATTCAGCTGGATAAACTGAATCTTGCTTAAAAAGTTGAGTAAAGTTGAATAAACTTAATCATGTTTATCAAGCTGAAATCAGCTGAATTAAATAAATCTTGCTGAACAAGCTGAATTAAGCTGAATAAACTGATCTTGCTAAACAAGCTGAATTAAATGAATCTTACTTAACAAGCTGAATTCAGCTGGATAAACTGAATTTTGCTTAAAAAATTGAGTAAAGCTGGATAAACTGAATTTCGCTTAAAAAATTGAGTAAAGCTGAATAAACTTAATCATGTTTATCAAGCTGAATTCAGCTGAATTAAATAAATCTTGCTGAACAAACTGAATTAAGCTGAATAAAATGATCTTGCTAAACAAGCTGAATTTATCTGAATTAAATGAATCTTATGGAGCAAGCTGAATTCAGTTTAGTCAACTAGATCTTGCTGAATAAGTTAAATAAAGCTTAATAACCAGTTATTGCTGAATTATTCTACAGAAGCTGAATTGCTCTGAATAATCTCAACATTCTACTATTGATTTCACATTACAATTATGTAAAGCACAACAAGATCTTAAGATTACACTTACAATAAAAAAAATAAATTCCAACAGCTTTAAGTCATCACAATTCGCATATAGTTGACAAATTACAGCTTAAAAAATTTATAACATTTAAATACAGTTCAACAATAAAGACACAAAAAAGAGCAGAAGGAAAATAAATTAAAAGTCTTGTCTCTACGAGCATAATAACCTAGTGACTTAGCGATTTTTAACAAGTAATAAAGCGACAAAAAAATTTCCTACATCTTAAGCGATAAATGTCTCAGCCAGTGTTGCAAATGTAGATGTCTACACTAGATGAAGAATGTAGATTCTTCAATAGTTTTTGTCTAGCTAAGAAACTTTCTTCATAAAGATCGATTCTACATGTAGAAAGAAAAAAACCATCTACATGTAGATTGTGTCTACATGTAGAATCTGTCTACATGTAGATTCGATGTAGATGTCTATAATTCTGCATTTTTTCTAGGTCTACATCAGAGAAGAATGTAGAATCGTAGACATCTACATTAAATCTACATGTAGACAGATTCTACATGTAGACACAATCTACATGTAGATGGTTTTTTTCTTTCTACATGTAGAATCGATTTTATGAAGAAATTTCTGTCTCAGAATTTATCTGATCCAGACAAATAGCCAGAATGCAACACTGGTCTCAGCTAATTAAGCTAGTTACTAGATTTCATGATTTTTTTTTTTTGTTATTTCTTTCCCCTATATAGAACCTTGAACTCGATTTATTTAACAGAAACAATTCACAAATCATTTAATTTCATGTCTCAATTCTCTCGCTTGCTCTCTGCTAGAGCAGCACATATTTCTCACAATTACAATGTGATGAAAATGAACAGTGAGCATAAGACTAAGTGAATTTAAATCAGTATCATTCTGACAATTCAAACAGTCGTACAAATTTGTACAAATCATGCTGGAAATAATACAAAAATCGTATTTACTTCAACATTGGGAATTTCTTGTTCTCTTCATGACAATTGGATACTTTGTTGTGCGACTCACGAGGAAGGAAAAGAAAAATTCAAATAAGCGAAGTAATGATGACGAAATGATTGCAAGAGATTATAGAATTGAGGATGATCATGGTGAGAATGAAGCAGATATAACGCCAGCACTTGAAGAGATTAAAATGATTCCGTACAGAGGTGTGCAAGTGAAATTAGCTGGTGGTGCTGATGAGTTCTATAACTTAATGAATGACCGTAGAAGTGTCAGGAAGTTTAGTAACAAAGCTGTGGATATGGAAGTTATTAAAAAATGTATTCATGCTGCTGGAACATCTCCGAGTGGTGCTCATACAGAACCTTGGACATTTTGTGTAGTCAAAAGGTTAATTTTTATTTGATTTAATATTCTTTTGGTGAGTGGAGTCGGTTATGCTGATTATTCGGCAATTGAAGTTTGAAGGAATGTTTGTAGAAATTCTAATGCTTAAGATGCGAACTTTAGCCTTATTCATAAGCAAAATAAGAGCTGAAGAATGGAATTTACTACTGAATCTTTAAACTTCACAAGATATTGTTTCTTTTTTAGTAGCCGCAAAACTACTTCATTAGGTGATGTTCTTAAAAGTTGACAAGATTGATTCTCAAAATTCAAAAAAAAAATCACAGTTAGGAAAATTTTACAAAAGAAGTTAAAACAAGCAGTACGAAAAAACTTTTTGCTACTTTTTGTTATATAGTTGTGGGGGGTTTGAACCCACATCTTCTAAGATATTTCAATTCTCCATTAATTCTATGAAAATTAAAAAGTTGGCAAGATCCACTCCAACTTAATTGAATTAAATTCTTTTCCAATATTCATCAACAGTGACGAGATGAAGGCTCAAATTCGTGAGATTGTCGAGTCCGAAGAATATACAAATTACACTCAACGTATGAGCAAACAATGGACAACAGATTTAGAGCCTTTGCGCACGACATACATAAAAGAGTATTTAACTGAAGCACCGTACATAATTGTAGTGTTTAAGCAAGTTTATGGAACTCGTTCGGATGGCGGAAGGAAGGCACATTACTATAACGAAATTTCATGTGCTATATCTGTTGGAATATTGTTGTGTGCTCTACAGGCAGCCGGCTTATCATCTCTTACAACAACGCCATTGAATTGCGGACCAGCACTAAGAACTTTATTAAATCGACCAATTAATGAGAAATTGTTGGTTCTCTTGCCTGTTGGCTATTCCACAGACGATTGCGAAGTTCCTAGTTTACAACGAAAGAGCATTGAAGAAATTATGGAAGTTTATTAATGCTGAAATTATAATTTTAATTTTTAATCACAATAAAAATTCATTAAAAATTTAGTTCATTCCTGTAAAAACTTCACTGCGAAATAACATTATCAAAAATTTAAAGACTCTCCCCACTTTTTTTTCGTGTCTCTCTCTTATACTCAGTTCTTTTGGGGATTGTTCAATTATGATGTCAATTTTTCTAGTAAAAACTATTTCCTGGAATTTAATTTATTTAATTTTATGACTTCCCCGATCTAGCTTCTTATTCCTTTTGACGTCATAAGTGAACGACCCCTCGCCTTTACTTCATATATTTTATACTTTTAATTGAGTTCGAGTGCCCATGAGCCACAAAAAACGCAGTCTGTATGAGATCAACTTCTTATTAACTTGTCAGTGAAATAAAAAAGTTTATTAAGCATACACAAATTTATTTTTGTAACAACAAATTCTTATGAGACTTCCTTTATTCCCTTCTCGTGCCCCTTTCTGTCATCAAATTCACATAATAACGTGAGATGAGATGAAATTCTTACTTCATCTTGATATTTTTTTTTTTTATTTTTGATAATTTTCATACACGAGAGAATCCAGTGCTGAAGAAGAAGAGACGAATGCAAAAAGAGAAGAGATTTTATTGTGTGCTGATGATGATGGTGATGAGGTTGTTTAAGTTTCCTTTCATGAATGATTAAAATTTAAATTCTTTTCACTTCTTGTCTTCTTTTGATATGAATTGGAATGGAATGTAAGACTGTTGTGAGTTGTATTAAAAGGGATTATTGGGAGTTTAGTGGATGTAATATTCATAATGGACTCTTTTGTCTTTTTTAAGTGTATTTTATTCGATGCTATCGCATCAGTCAGTTGTGATTCTTATTAATGAGAGTGCAGTTTTGGAGATTAAACTTGATAAAGCTGACATTGGCTGGTCTTCGTGTAATATACACGTTGGGACATAACATTAAAAGAACCAAGCAATTCAAAAATTCCAGATTGTCTGAATCTTACAAAATACGTATTAACGGAGATTCCCAGCTAAGCAAGCATAAAGCATCAGTAACATGAACATCTTTTAAGCAACAATCAATCATCTTTGTTTACAAATAAATATTTCGAATTACCTATTTTAGTGTCAAATTTAATAAAAACAAAAACATTCAGATGCGTGTGTTGTTTAAGGAACTCTCTATGGTACCAATCTAGTAAATTTTGGAGCAGCTAAAAATAAATCACAAACAATTCTTATCTGTATTGTATTGAATATTAACTGATTATGGATTTCTGCATGTAAATTTGCTGATATCTTATCAATTATTTGTCAGTGACGAGCAATCAAAGCTTGGTTTATTTGGTGGGAATGTTATCGGTGGAATTTCTTGGAAATTTCATAAAATTACTGATTGATCCAATAAACAGAAGCATATTATATTTTGGAACTAAATTGAGTGACTGTGGTTAAAAAAATTAAATTACCAGCTTCTAATCAGGATTGCGATACAGGCACGTAGTCACAGGTAAGAACGGTACAATTCCTTGTTAAATTGTGAGGTTTTATTAGAATTTGTATGGTTTTGTCACAAAAACCTTATAAATTATCAAGGAATTGGACGGTTCTCACATGTGCACTGGTGCCTGAATCACAACCCAGCTTCTAATCATAACGTCCTAAGCTATATCTACACCAAACATCATGTAACCTTCAATTGAAATTAGAAACTTCAAAATTCAACCCAAACTCACCAAAATCTTGACATCTTTAAACTATTAGATCACTTTATGAACATTTTCCTCAAAAATTAATTCACTTGAATGCATGATCACGTAGGGGGCCATTCTAAGATTTTGTTACGGTTCAAACAAGGAAATTTTTTTTTCATACAAATTTTGTTACAAGGGGGGGGGGGGGTCTAAGAAGTCATTTTTTCGCGTTACGTAATAAGTGAACAGCCCCTAGATTAATATTTAACAATTCGCAATTCGCGTGACAAAATGAAATTTACTTTGCGGATAAACATCAAAAACAAGTAGAAGCTGACTTTTGAATATTCAAACTACTAATCAGCATGAAAATGTACATTTGATGAGCTCTTGATGCTGCTGAACGCAAAAAGTCGATTGACTAAGCTTTAAATGAACTTTGTATATTATTTTTGGCCATTTTTGGGAATTGGGTTTTCTGTGGATGAGTAAGAAAATTATTTTGGGATTTTTCTACCTTTATGCTGAATCAGGAGGGATTTAAGATGTATTAGAGATTTGAAAGGTCAGAGTTTAAGATGGAAGAGAAGTTTTTGAACTGTAGCTAGCTTAAAATAGAGTTGAGATCTGAAGATGTACATAATTTAAGGATAGGGAGTATAAAACTGATTGAGAGCCTTTAGAAATCTATGACAAAAGGGGTTAAGGGTGTCCAATATTAGGCATCCTTAATTTGTAAACGACCTTTAATAATTCATTTTGATCAAAAATCATTAAATTCAGCCTTTGTAATGTACTCCATCCAATTATTCATATAACAAAGCACAGACTGTATTCAAATACGAACCTGACACTGCTTTCTTCCACAAAAGATGTCATCATCATTAGTATCAAAAGAAATTTTTCTCCCACTTCTTCTTGTAAATAATTTAAAATTCACAAATTTCTTTCCTCATGCAAAACGACACTCAACTTACATAATATAAATTTATTTGTTTGTGCGTGCTGTAAGGAACAAGAAGACATATCGAGAAAACATTAAAGAGAATCCAATCCCTAGCAGAAATTTACTAGTAATTTCCTAGTAATTTACTTGATAACTTTCCATTTGCTACTTGCTATTTACTAGTCAAAATCCAAGTTCAAATCATCGCCAAAGACCCGCATTTTCACTTGCTAATTGACTAGTCAATTCGCTTACAATTTAACTAGTAATTTACTAGCAAATTTGTAAAAAATTTAAATGAATATAACCGTTGATTTCCACGTGTTTTTTTGATTTTTTTATTTGTGTAAATTATTGTAAAAGTATTAGTGTGTACTTAGTTTAATTAATTAAAGTACACTAATACTACGAAAAAAAATAAAAGACTTAATTTAATTAAGTCAAACACTGATGAACGCTTATGACTCGCACGCAAACCTGAGGAAGATAAATAATTAAATTGAATGTCTCATACAAATTTGGATCGAGCTTATAAAGGTGATTTCTGCGCGCTCTTGTGAAGTATATGGCAAATGCCAAATTTAGAACAAAATTTTTTATGATGCAAAAATTTCTTTTTTTGATGATTTTTCGTAGGATTCGAACTTAAGAAGATTTGATCAAACATTTCTCATGAAAATTTGCTAGTAATTTGCTATTAAATAGTAAGTGTAATTTACTAATAGTAAGTTGTTTTAATAATAACTAGTAAATTGCAAGTAGTAAAATAGAAAGACTAGCAATTTGCTAGTTAGTCTCGCTAGGGAATTACTTTAATTTTTAAATGTCATTAGAATAATTCATGAGTTTTGAGGCAGCTGAGGTGTTACGCGAGAATTTTCATGCAAAATCACGTTGAAACTGAAAGTAAGGCATTGCCCATGACTAAAACGAAGTGGATTAAGAAGAAGCAGAAAAAAAATTCTTTCTGGCTGACTTTGGAAATATTCAATTTTTAATCTCTCATTTCTGTGGTATTTGAGAAGCACTCTTCTGTTGCTGTTTCTTTATTTATATTGTAAAAAAAACTTGTTTCGTGATACTTCTTAGTGAAAATAAAAATATTCTTGTTACTTTTTGTGGCTTTTTTTTTTCATTCTTAATTCCATTCTTCTTATTTATTTCTCTTACTTCATTGCCTCTTATTTAGTTCTTTACCTATATCAACATCATCATCATCATCGTAATGTTTTGCAAAATCTCTCTGAGAGAATCGAAACATGAAAATAAGAAGAACTTCTTTTTTTTATTTCATGTTTAATTCACAAAAAATAATTATTTAATATGAATTGGGAGAGAAAGAGAATTTTGTAATTAATGTCGACGCCACTGAATGATATTTACGTTTTAATTTCCTCTTTAACAAAAATGTATTTCTGGTTTTTAGCATAGTTTCGTATGAAATTATGTCTTGAAGGTTGTTTTATGGCTACTGGACTTGGATGTTTTAAAGTTGTGACGGTAAATTAGAAATTTTACTCGTGTTTATCTTAGGGGTCGTTCACTTATGACGTCCATCAAAAAACCTGATTTTCATACCCCCCTCCCCCCCTCTGTCACAAAAATTCTAATTTCCATTGTTTGAACTGTCACAAAATCCTAGAACCCCCTCCCCCCCTAAATGTCGGACGTCATAAGTGAACGGCCCCTTACTAAGTCTAAAGTACACAAAACTAGCTTAGAAATATTGAAAAACTCGGTGTTTTGTTGATTCTGCAAAAGAATAGATGATTTTTTTGTTTATTCTTGCTTTAAAACATTTAAATTTCAATTCTCATAGACTGTAAAAGATTTTGTGATATGGTTTGTAACTTCCTAGATTCTATTTTTGCCAAGGCGTGGAAACTATCCCAAATATCATATTTATCCCATACATCCCAAAAATATTCAAAAAATTCCTGAGAATATTTGCACGATAATAAAGATATCCCAACGTATCCTTAGTGTATTGGACGTGTAATTTCAGAATATGATGGGATATCTCAAATCTAATGCATACAGGCTCAGGGATTATTTTGAATATTTTTGGGATATATTGGATAAATTGGATATTTGAAATAGTTTCCACGCCTTGATTTTTGCTGTATTATTCAGTGTATTAAAGCATTTGCAAAAATTTCTGCTTAGAATAATTTTAAAACCTTACATTTAACTTCGCATCTTCTTGAAAACCATACAAATTATTCGCATCTTCTTCGAAACCATACAAATTATTCGCATCTTCTTCAAAACCATGCAAATTATTCGCATCTATTATTTAAAATTTAAAATTTCATTGGAATTTTTTAACAATAACCTTAAGAATCCTAATTACAGAATTTAAAGCTTC